TCTCTCTCTCTCTCTCTCTCTCTCTCTCTCTCTCTCTCTCTCCCCCTCCCTCCTTCTCTCTTTCTCTCTCTCTCCTATTTCTTAGCACTTCACATTTTGTATTCATTTAGGTGTTCTCTCCCTCTCTCTCCCTCTCTCTCTCTTCTCTCTCTCTCTCCCTCTCTCCCTCTCTCTTTCTCTCTTTCTCTCTCCTTCTCTCTTTCTCTCTCTCTCCTATTTAGATTGTCAATGCAAAGTAAATATGAACTTTCTTTTTTTGCACCACCTGCAGCTGAAACTGTCAGTGCTGCACCCATTTCCTCTGTCACTGCTGCACACCTGCCAAGCTTCCAACAGCCCGCATTTGCACTTGTTTGCCTGAAGACTTATTTGGCTTTGGAAGCTGACACTGCCTACCTGTGCTTCCACCTAAAATGCAGACAGGAAGTAGCCTTCAACAAGTCACTTATAGGAATTAGTGTATAAATGCCCAGGCTCCCTCACATTTTCCAGGAGCTAGTCGCCTAAAGTGTTGGCTGGCTCAATAATGCATCATTTTATTGGCTAACTCTCCTTCCCAGTTTGATTTCATCACTCCAAAATAAGTGACATACTCAAATCCTTCTGCACGAATGCTTCTGTCACATATTGGTGACAGTGTCTGTTGAATGGATGAGTGAATGAATATATGGGTGGGTTGGTGGGTGGGTGGAAGGATGGAATAATAGATGAAGAATAGATTACAAAATGGAGTTCAAGGATAGATGAGGTGTGAGGTTTCAAACTATTGACTGAAAAAACAAAGGTGCAGTGAGCTCATTCTAATTGGGGCTAGTTGGCTCACATACAAAAATGTAAGCCCACATAAAGGTGTAGGTATAGGCAGTTTATAGAGAATCTAATAAGGAATTTTAAAAAGCTAAGGTTTACTATAGGCTCACTGCCAAATTGTTGAATTTTTTAAATGGATGTATAGTTTTACACTTATTAATTTACATAATAAATTATATTTATTACACTTATGTGTTTTACATTTATTGTTTTATTACAGTATTTACTTAAAGCATTAAAATGTGCTATGCAAACTCATAAATAAAGTTCAACTGTTGAATAAAATTATAACAGTTCAAACAGTCACTTTTCAGATATATAAATACAGAGGGTGCCAAAAAAACTGTATACACATTTTAAGAAAGGAAAAAAAACTGTATTGAAATTATGCTGTTGGTAGCCATTTTGAGCACCTCTTGTAACAGCAGAAATCAAACGTGACTTGTATTCATCTTTTGTTATCGGTATATATTGAATATTACAATTTTAATATAGTTTTTTCCTTTCTTAAAATGTATATACATTTTTTTGGTACCCTCTGTATATATCTGGAAGTGAGATTGGGCTGTAAGTGAAATCAGATGGTGAGATTTAGTCAGAGCCACAGAAAGAAGTGATCACACAAAGGTGATCTAGGTGATACAGATGTAACTGATTTTAGTGTGAGAAGTACTATTAGAGGTTCTTATCAGCATTATGAGTGTGTCATTGGACATATTCACAGAGTTATTTAGGAACTGACTAGGACTCCTGAATCAGAAATCATTTCTATTTTCAGCAGATTATGAGTACGGAAGCTAAGTTAGACTGTGAGTTTCCTGATAGTAAGAGAAAACATCAAAGTCTGACCCCAGTAAGTTCAATGCATGGCATGTAGGTGACTTTGAATGTATGAAAATATGGGTGGTTGGGCCCACAGACTTTTATAGTAAGCATTGTTTTAAAATGTGAAACAATTGATATGAACTAGCAAATCATTGATCGCTAAGTAAAGCATTCCTCAAATTACAAAAGAATATAATTCTGACACTCCAAGTGATCAGTGTTATCTAGCCCCACACGTTTAAAAATTAAAGATGACATATCTAAAATCCTGTATCGCTTCTTGGCCTTTTGGCTAAGATCAAGTGTAAAATCCTGTAAATTTGTATAAACTTTCTATAAGAAAATATTAATATAATGGTGCTGGTTGCAAAATATTTGTGTTTAAACAAGAGTTGTGTGTGAAGCTGAGCTAAGTTAACATGCCAATGGAAAATATTGTTCAGAAATAATTTCTGGGGAAAATTTAACTTCTTTTGATGAATCAACCTGCTTTTTCTCCATGAATATTGAGAATCGTGTAATTCTGTCTCTTTTAAAATTTTGTCTACCAAAGATCTCAGTACTTACTTTGCAACTCAATTTTCCTAAGGACATGGAAACGTTTGGCTTTTATAGTCATCTTCTAAATTTCTCCTTATTTTTAAAATCTATTCTGATTTTTCTTTATCTTGGGCCTGAGTTTTTTTTTTTATATCGCCTGGATTTTTCTCTCTAACTTTATGTATTTATGTAAGTCACCACAGGCTATTTGTGGAAATGGAGGAATGAATGATTCATGTATAAAACATAAAGAAACAATCTATTTTTATTGCATTACTACTCTTTTTATTTTTCCTCAAGGCCAAATGTTTGTGAAGAACAGCAACTGGCAGTGGTAGGACTTGCACACCCGTGTGTCCGAGCATTCACACGCACCATCAAGCTGTGGAAACAGGGCTGTGCTGGCCCAAGAGGCTGTGTGGGTTATGAAAGAAGGTAAGGGTGCTTCCACCATTCCTTTTGGTTACAAAAATCAAAACCCACAGCCTCAATGGCATCTAAAGATTTCATCCAGTCAATTTTAGAAAATAATTCTATAATTAAGTAAACAAGCATAAGATATGGCCACATGGAACTTTTCAGAATTATGTATTTTCCTTCAGAGACAGGATATATGAATAATTGACTTGAAGCCTCAATTATGTGTGAGGTACTTTGGGTTAAACGACACTAATTTTACCACTTAGATGATAGACTGTTGAGAGCTGAAGATAGAACACTGACAGAAACAAACGATATTTTGTAGGTTTGCTACATTTAGCATGACTTGGATCCGGGGCATCTACGGTTGTGGAAGATTTACCTGCCTTGCCCTTGATTCTCTTCCAACACTAAAACCCAGAGCTTCCTGACTTCAGTATGGCCTTTGAATTAGGATTAACTCAGCAGGTTGGGAGCAGAGAGAAAAAACAAGTACAGTGCTTTCCATGTGTCAGGCTTCATATGGACTTTCTTTTCAAAGTTTTAAAATAGTTTTACAAAACATCTAAGTACCTCTTACTACAAATAGTTGCTAATGGATTAAGTTTTATATGAATGAATCAACTGAGCCTGAGTTCAGGATTAAAAAAAGGTATGACTTTAGATTAATAAATGTATTATTATTAATATTAGTATTATTAATATTATTATTGCCAAAGGAACATTGGGAACATTTATAAATGACAGGGTTTGTCATTGTATAGAAGAACGCTGATAATATAGGACTAAATAAAATATTATAAGGCTAAATAATTTATTGCTGTGGCTATTTACATATATATCACATATGCCTGCTCGTGTGTGTGTGTGTGTGTGTGTGTGTGTGTGTGTGTGTGTGTGTGTTTAACGTTCAGGTGGATAGTATTTTTTTGATCTATGCTCAGGACCTTTAAATGAAGTTTACAGGAGAAAACTTCCCCCCTCTCTTATTTAGCTTTGTGACCATTGGGAAAGTTCCTACATTTCTCTGTGCCTTTGTCTGTAAAGTTAGAAAACTAATACTATGCATTGATATTATGAGGATTAACAGAAATCATATTTAACACACATGGCACAATGATTGTTACACAGTAGGTACTCAACACATTTGTCAGAGTATTTCTTTTTGTTTGTTTTGAAAATGAATTTTCATTTAGATTTTCTGTATTCCTCCCATGAGGTTTAATCATTGGTGATAACTGATTGAACCAAAGAAAGCTGACTACCAGTAGACATTCAGACATAGGAAAACAAACATAAATAACATAGAAAACATTTTTAATATTTTTATTCTCAATAACTTAGTAGTTTTATCCATTTCTTTATGCAGTAAATATTTATGACACTGACTTTGAAGTGGAAGCAGGGTTCAAAGATGTTTGGCATCTCTGCCAAACTAATTTCCCTTTTGTTTGTATATAAGTATGCAAACCTATACTTATATCCCTATTGGAGAGATACACGTATAAAAGACTAGGTTATACTTCAAGATGGTGAATAACAAGTATCATAAAAAGTGGTATGCCAATAGTTCATATAGGCCAATAGTTTAATTAAAAAATTTAAAGTTTATTAGGGTGACAATTGTTAGCAAAGTTACATAGATTTCAGGTGGATGATTAGATAAAGAACTTGTGGTATATATACACAATAGAATACTATTCTGCCATAAGAAAAGATAGTTCCATTTTTTGAGAGAAGAAAAAGAGCAATATACACTGGTATGGTGGGGAAATAGAAATTGGAGGAAGTGTAATTTGCTGTTGGCTTTGAATGATGAAAGGCATTTGGACTAGGGGTCTAAGGATAGGTATACGAAGGGAAGAGAATATGTTAATACTTTAGACATAAAGAATAAATATGATGAGCTCTGAGCAACAGCAGTTCGAGTCCAGCCCAAGCTGAGCAGCCGCTGAGCTGCCAACAGGTAGCAGGATGGCTCAGCTAAAAAAAAAAAAAAAAAAAATCCAAAGAATAAATATGACATTGATTTGATAGAAATGAAATTAGCCAGTTTAGAGGTATTCAGTATTATAATGTATTAAAAGGTCAGCATGAATAGCTGTAGTTTAGTGTTTTCAACCTTTTGTTCTTTATTGTCTAAGGAGCCTTTGTAAACTTTAAAAAAAAATTAATAATCATCTTCCTCTTCCACAAAGTTTCAATACGACAGATATGGTTTATATCTGTTTATGTACAGTGCTCCTTTGTAGGACCACAAACCATTGTATTAGCTAAGATTTTTTTTTCCACCCCTGCCACTCAAGAACCAATTGTCACCCACTTGCGAGTGATATCACCACTGTTTAGAATGCATGCGATAGTGGAACCAATGTATGAGGGGCCTTCACTGTCAAGTTGAAAAAGCATGTACCTCATTATCCTTCAGGATTTCATTATTCTCTTCATAATTTGGGTTTTCATTCTTGATAGTTTGAGTGACCCTTAGGATAGTTTATACCACAGGACATGGGGGTTCCTGTTAATTTTTATTAACCTGTACCCATATTGAATCTTGGCTGGAAATGTAGTAAGGTGTGTGTGTGTGTGTGTGTGTGTGTGTGTGTGTGTGTGTGTGTGTGCACATAAATGGCAGGATTCGAGGTGGAGACAACATTTTTAATGGATGGAAGAGGACAGCTTTGCCTTAAGGGGAAGCATTACTGATGTAGGCCCTGTGTTTCTTAGGACTCAGTACTACACCATCTATAGACAGATGTACAGCATGGAGCGACAGACCATCTTCAGATGCTGCCCTGGTTGGAGCCAGCAGGACCATGAACCTGGCTGCCCACGCTGTAAGTTATAATTCTTCCTGTCTAACGGTCTGTCACTTGAGGTAATGGTTTCATTCTGTTTGGGCTTCCATCATATCATGCTTGTCAAGTTTTAGGTGTCCTTAGAATCACCGCAATTTCAGAGCATGTCTTTGGACTGAAAATTCACACATGGCATGTGTAAAAATGCACAAAAAGCTTTTCTGTTAAGCGTTGCTAATGGTGGGTCAGGACTCAAGACCTGTAGAACTACTGCTTTCTATCCTGTCTCTTTATTTAAAAGACAGTTTATTTAAAGCCAGCCAGTTACACCTTGACTTCCATCACCCTTTTCCATTTGCCCCTTTCCCATATCATCAAATTTGTAATCCACAGTTGATTCAGAAGTCTGGAGGGAAATCGATGCACTAAAATCTAAATGGGATTTCTCAACTTGTACATGTCATGATTAATTGCAGAACTCTGGAGACAGTTTTCTTTTTAAGATGAGGTATGCAGTCCTTGTACAAACGCCTGGTGAGAGTACCCCAGAACTTCTGGAGCAGTTTGACAGAACTCAAAGAGCAGAACTGGTGGCATTACATAGTTCATTCATACCAGGAGAAATGGCTCCATTTAACGTCTCCTATACCTATACATTAATGGTTATTGTGAAGTCGCTTGAAAAGCTTCAGTATGTTGCAATCAGTTTGGCACCAGAGCACAACAATTTATCTCTCCTGCCATCCTGTACCTTGGGCAGTTTGTCAGCATCCTGATTCCTTCCCCTGCTTCCTGCTCTGGAAATGTCTTAGAGAAGTTGGTGAGACTTCCCATGTTAAGGAAGATTAGCATTAAGTGGTGTACCCAGGGTCACTCACTACATGCAGAGCTCGGCCACAGCAGCTGGCTGGTTTCAGCTCAGTGAAAAACATCTCCCACGATGTCATCTCAACTACATTATAAACTCCTGGAAATGAACGACCGTGAGATGAATTCTTTATACTGTTGTGTGACACCTATCACATTCCTTTGCCTCTGGTCAGTACTGGTATTTCTTGCTTGATTTCTAGATTGTTTTGGCCACACAATTATCTCCTCCATGGAGTTTCTTTAGACTAGTGCTACTCAAACTTTCAATGTGAATACAAATCACCTAGTACCTTGTTAAAATGTGGATTCTGACTTAGTGGGTCCCGTGGAGCCTGAGAGTCTGCATTTCTACAAGCTTTGAGGCAATGCAGAGGCTACCACATACAGAGCTCTAGAGAGCTTTAGAGAGCAAGGCTTTAATATGTAATGGAAACACTGTTGAACCTTGCTGTGGAGGGGCTGGTGGAAATTTCTATGTTCATATTTATATTAGCAGCTTGGTGCTTACACTGAGGCTTTTCTTTCTTCCCCTCAACTCCATTCCCCATCCCCCATCTACCATCCTTTTAGCTGTCTCTGCAGTGGAGACTTGTTTCAATGGAAGGAGATGCTCAGACAGTGAAGCCCAGAGGTGCCAGTGTTCTGAAGGTTTTCAGGGACCCCACTGTCAATATGGTGAGTCACCAACAAGACCATTTCACAGATGCTCCTTGATATGATGGGATTATGTCCCAATAAACTCTCTTAAGTTGAAAATATCTTAAATTGAGCCAGCCAAGTGGCTCATGGGTTAAGAGCACACTCAAGAGTGCGAGCTCTGAGCAACAGGGTCGCCAGTTTGATTCCCATCCCGAGCTGAGCTGCCGCTGAGCTGCCAATAGGTGGCAGAATGGCTCAGCTATAATAAATAAATAAATAAATAGATAAATAAATAAAATATCCTAAATTGAAAATGCATTTAACACTGCACTGTAAGTATGGGTTGTTTATCCTTGTGATTTTGTAGCTGACCGAGAGCTGTGGTTCCCTGTTGCTGCTAGCCATCATAAGAGAGTATCGTACTACATGTCGCTAGCCTGTGAACAGATTCAAAATTCAAAGTACAGTTTCTACTCAATGCATGTTGTTTTCTCACCACTGTAAAGTTGAAAAATCATTGTCAAATTGTTGCAAGCAGGGATCATCTGTATTATAATTTAGAGTTGTCCACTTTGCTTTTAGGGGCCAGCCAATTTTGTTGATTCAGGCTAATGGTAGGGTTGTCCCTCCAGGGATTGGCGAGCACTTAAAATGAGCAACTAAGCAAAAACCTACAACCTCCAGTGTATGCAGTGTCACAAATTTTGTTTTACAGTTTAGTTTTAATTATTCACTATAAGAGTTCAAAGGGTAGCAGTAAGTACAAAATGGTCTATTTTATAAAGAAAATGGCAGCTTTATAAGAAAACTTCATTCTGACCTCAGATTTTAAGTCTTTAATGGAGCCATGGTTTCAAAGTACTGGTACGAGATTTTTTTGTGAGATCGCTCTGGTTTGTGAATGAACAAAGTGGTTACTACTTTTGTACCCTTTACTAAAAAATAAATAAATAAAAATAAACAACACTTGCCTGACTCTCAAAGTTTCAAAACTAGGTAACCTAGTCTTCAAGGTTGGAGCTTTATCAACTGTCAATTTTGGACGTGTGCGTTTACGATGTTTCTTATGCAGGACATTTTCACAGTGGCCATTCATCCTTTCCTACATCTGCCATGAAATTGGGTGTTTTCCAAAGGATTTATTTTGACTTGGTCATCTGATTCTAGTCTCCAGAGAATGTGAATGTGTCTGCATTTATTTTTTCAGGGCAGAAAAAACAAAACAAAACTGATCTTATAGAGGAAATAAAAAAAAATAGGTGTAAAAAAATGAAAATATTGCATTCATTATCTTATGCTGATATTTTTACCTTCTCTTTTCTATTACTTGCATCTTTGTAAGTGAAATTGGCAGGTTGCTAAGAGCTCATCACTTATGTCCATTTCTGTCCTCTTCCCTTGACATAAAGTTAAGGCTCAAGTTTTTCATGGGTCACCTCACAGATATTACTGTAAATTGATCATTTGCTTTTTGGGGGGAACAATTTGTGAATAAAAAAATGTAGCTGATTTTTAACCCCAATTTATTCTTTGACTATGGACTTTGATTCTGAGATAGATAGTGGTCAGAGCACACATTGAGCTCTAGGGTGTGTCGTCAACTATTTTCATTACTTAAGAAAAGCTAACGGAAATTATACATTGATCCATGACAACAAATTGTTTCAACTACATGTGCAAAACTGGCTTCCTTGTCTTGATAATTAGCTGTGATGGGCAATTACACATGTCATTAAAATTTTTTTTAATTAATTGTTACTTTATTAATTCATTTGTTTTGGTATAACAAATCTTTCAAAACATCAAGAGGGGAAAGGTAATTAAAGAGACATGGTAATGACAATGGCCTAGATGTTATGCCTGGATTGATTTATTCTTTATTTTCTATATCAGTACTTGAATATTTTGATTATTCTAGTTTCTTAACAACTTTTGTTTACAATGCTTTCTGAAGTTCAAGTAGCTAGACTTTGTATTTTTCAATTTTCAGTTGGTGAAAATAATGGATTATTTTAAACATAGGCAGAATCAGTGTGCCTTTTCTACAAGTTTGTTTGTATACTACAAAGTTCCAGAAGTCATGAGAGAAGACCAACCACACAGAATACCTTTCAGGAGTCTGCTACATTTTCAGTATTGTTGTCCAAGTATGTTTATCTTTAGATTTTGACATTTCTTCTCCCACTGTAAAACTTTGGTTGAATTTAAAAAGAAAAATTGATGAAATCTAAGGGATATGTGTCCTGAAGTAGGAGTTCAAGCATGCTCTACATGGTATCACATTCCAGCAAAATGACATATGACAAAGTATGGAAATTTAAGGGGGTTTCATTGGAGGAATTTTGGAGACTTACTAGGAAATCAAATGTTTGGGAAGACAAGTAGAGAATCCAATTAAGAAGGAATGACATTAGCTGATGCTTGAAAATAGATTAAAAATAAAAATCAACAAAGATTTTTTTTTTAAAGAATGTAATTGATAGGACATATACTCTATCAAGCAGGTTGATTGTAGTCTAGAGATACTGCCTATACTCTCTTATCCAGTGGCTGGATTTGGATTCTGACTTATGAGTGCATAATCCTTGTTCTGATTGACACTACTTTCTTTCTCGCTCTCTTTAAATATATACATACTTATGATGTGTGATCAAACAATATGGTGAATGTTTAAATTTAAAAAATTATTACAGTAAAAGGCACATTGTTATTAATCCCCCTCAAAATATTTCTCCTTGCTTCAAACACACTTATTCCATTATTCTTGCCACTTTCTGAAGCAGTTCTGGAAGTCCTTTTTTGTGAGTGTCTTTAGTTGTGCTGTCATGGCTGCCTTGATGTCCTGAATTAATTCAAAATGTTTACCTTTCATGGTCGTTTTGACTTTGGAAAAGAACCAGAAGCTGCATGGTGCCAGATCCGGTGAATAAGGTGGATGAGGACACACTGTAATGTTTTTATTTGACAGAAACTGCTGCACCAGAAGTGATGTGTGACATGGTGCCTTTCCTTTGTGATCAGCAAATACCTTGAATGCTGCTGCTGAACGCCATCCAATGGAAAGGAAGGGATCTTCAATATGGGAAGCAGTGCATCGAACCTTAGCAACAGTGTGTGACAAGTTTCAAGTTGTTCAGTGCAGCCAGTCAGGTGTGAGCTACAGTTGAGAGAAGGTGTGCTTTAAAGTGTGCTGTAAATCATCCTCCATCATGACAATGCTCTGTGTCACACATCGCTTCTGGTATATGACAATTTCTGTCAAATAAAAACATTACGTTGTGTCCTCATCCACCTAATTCACTGGATCTTGCACCGTGTGACTTCTGGCTCTTCCCCAAAGTCAAAATGATTTGGGACATCGAGGCAGCTATGACAGCACAACTAAAGACACTCTTGAAAGAGGACTTCCAGAACTGCTTCAGAAAGTGGCAAGAATGATGAGATAAGTGTGTTCAAAGAAAGGGGAAGTCTTTTGAGGGGGGTTAATGGCAATGTGTCTTTTACTGTAATAATTTCTTTTTTTCATTTAAACATTGACCATAGGTTTTGATCACACCTTGTATATACACATATACTATATTATGACATATATATATATATATCACAATGCAAATAAATTTAATGTTTTTTAAATTATATAAACAATAATTGAAGTGATAAATAATTGTAATTTTAAAAATTCAAATATAAGAAATTAACAGTAATACATAATAAAAAAAGTAAAAATGTACAGTTCTGTTTCCCTCAGATAATATGTGGTCATGCTTTTATGTACATTTATTCATGTTCATACACACATGTGTAATTTTAAATGAAGTTGTCTTCTACATACTGTTTTGTCATGGATGCGCCTCTTTTTTTCTTACCTTTCTCTGTCTTCTCTCCTCTTCCCCCCCAACTTCCTCTCCTCTCCCCAGTAACAACCTGGTGAACACTCCTTAGTATTTCTCTGGTCTCATGGACTCATATACAAACAAATGCATAATATTCCATGGTATTGATGTACCATAAGTTTTCAACCACCCATTTATTGATGGATGCTCATTTTGTTTCCAGTTTTTTGGCACAACAATCAGGGTACAATACTGTGGTGCTTTTATTTCCGTGATATAGATTCTCAACAGTGGGATTGTTAGGGTCTGTGAATATGTGTTTTAATTTCAGTATATGTAAGGATCAATTGTTCATTTAAATTATTTGTTAAAATGTTTTTTGGGCCATGGTAATGGATTTAGCAGTTTCCTTGGTTGGGATAGATTAAAATCTAGATGAATGCTAATTATTTACTTATTTTTTGACATGTTAACATAATAGGGAATCACTTGATCTTTATCCAAAACTGGATATCTGATAAACTATCTAGGATCAGTTATTGTAAATATGGATTGCTCTTAGTATAGGGCAAAGTTGACTTTATATGAGACATGTGGAAAAAAATAAGTCTAGAAAATTAAACAGATGGCTTTTTAAAAATGGACAAAAGAATCTAGTCCTAGAGAGAGAGAAAGGACATGCTAATAACCGAGAGAATTGCTTGAAGTTAATAATGGTTCTAAAATTGCCAATCTACTTAACTCATTTGAAAAATCAGCTTCTAATAAGGAAAAATGAAGAAAATGAATTTAGACAATTAGGAAGTAGTGAAGAACTTTCTAAAATAGCTATTGATTAAAGGAATCAAAGGGAATACTTTGAAGACTTGAACACATGCAAATCAGGCTGTACAGCTGGTGGTGAAGTGTTCTCTCTCATTCTGTGGATCCAGAAAGAACAACTTGGAGCTTCATTAATTGATTAATATCCAACACAAATCACACCTTTTCTCCTCATCACTTATTCCATCTTCTCTTTCTCTGGTCAGTTAAATTATAAGTCCAGCGAATTATAATATGCCTAATGATTACATGCTAAGACTCTGAGATCTGCTTGTTTCTTTTTTCATTGATTGATTGATTCATTCATTTATTCTTCTAATCAGCCTTCCAGTTAGTCAATAAGTATTTACATACTGAACTATGTGCTAATTATTGCAGATA